CACCACTTTAATAACGTAATATTATTTACATACGTAAATGCACCATGACTTATTCTTTCCCTATTCCTTACATATTCCTTCTAACCTCTTCTTCCATCTTTTCTTTTCTCTCTCATTTCTATCCACCTCTTCTTTCTTCTTTTCTTTTCTTTTTCTCTTCATATCCTCTTTCCCTTTTTTTCTTTTTATTTTTACTTCCCTGCCCCTAATCATATCCTTTCTCATACCCTTCCCATATTCTCCTTCTGCCGTTCTTCTTTCCACCATTCCTTCCTTACCTTTCTCCACTCTCCCTCCCTGTCTTACTTTTCTCAATTCTGTCAGGTATTTTTAAGCAATCGAGAATTTCAGAATAATCTGGATTTTTGTAAAATATTGTTGTTTAGTAAATTATTAAAATATCCGTTTAATCTATTATCGTATATAATTATTGTTGTCTATTGTGTATCCTTTCGAACGGCCGCAGCCCGCACGTTTCTCGATCGAGATGCGTGCTTCGAGATCGTATGCGCGGTAAGCAGCACGTCGTTCGGTGAAGGCGCGGGGAAAAAGTTCTCCTTTAAAGCACTTATAATTTATTATGCATTTTTCTGAACAATTTTTTAAAATTATTTTTTGTTTTTATTATCCTTGTTAAACTTGGTTTTTTATATTTTTTTATTATTTAAATATTACAATTTTGTTAGCAGCAGTCAAAAAGTTCTTTTTTTAAATATTTTTTATAATTCAAGTTTTTAATCCTATATTTAAGCCTATATTTTTGTATGATTTTGCTCCACACATTAATATCCGATTTTGCCAAAAATGAAGAAAATAATAAACATGGCGGCTACACATATATTTCGACTAAGAAACGATAAAAATTATTGCCATATATCTATACTGTTCAATACGTATAGAATTCAGTGCTGCATTTATTAAAATAGATATAGATATTATATAGAAAAAATTCAGACGACTTGATTGCTTCTCCGTTATTCTGTTTTTTTTTTATTCGAGCTTTAAACTTTTCTCTAAAAAGGCGTATCATATGTGTATGTACACGTGAACACGATTTATCTCAGAATAATAATGGCATTAATTTATAATAATTAATAACACGAATTAGACACAGATGACAATACTTATCACAAGGAAATAGAGGTACCTGGTTTAATCCGCCTATCTGGTTTTACCCAACTTTCTTCTACTTATTTGTATTTTATTTTATATATGTATACAATACTTACATGAAAAATTATAAATTTAAAACTATACTATACAACTATTTTATTCTCTCTAACAAAGGAAAATGTTAAAATAAATTATTTTTGGCTCAAAAGCGGTTAAAGCTAAACCTAAATCAACTATTGAGAACTGTTTTTAGAATTTTTCAAAAGCAGAAAATAACAATTACTTGTCCACCAGGTCCAGGGAAAGTTATAAAAATCAATTTATTATTGATTATTTTGGAATAGTCACTAGTCACATAAAGATTTTTAAGCTAAACCCTTGATATATCTCTAAAATAAAATAAACTGTATACTTATATTCTAAAAAATAAGTAATATATGTAGAAAATTTAATGTTTCAATTTACTTAATTTACATTACTGAGTGTGCCAAAAGCCTGGAACGATTGAATATTTTATATATTAAGCAGTTTGAAAAAATGTATTAAACAAAAGTTGTAGCGTTTAAAAATATCTATTTATTAGTTTTATCAGTTTGACCATAGATGACGATGCCAAAGTTAGAGCAAGATCATCTTTGTTGTGCCTCGGGTAAGGCACTGAGGGGATGTCTGCCGGATTAAGAAGTGGTTTTCAGAAGTGTCGGGGTTTTCACCAAATAATTTGTAGCTTTGAGTAGTTAACACTTTTTATTTTATAAAATATATAGTGTGTTCAAAAAGTATCGCGAATTTTGTGTTTTTTCAAAAATTATTTATTTATTCATGAATATCTATTTTGTCCCCTTCAAAGTAATCCCCACCAGATATTATACACTTGTGCCAACGTTTTTTCCAATCCTTGAAGCACTTCAAAAAATCATTTTTTGTGATCTTGTTCAGCTCCTCCTTCGATGCCGTCTTTATCTCCTCAATCGTAGCGTAGCGTCGTCCTTTCATGGGCCTCTTCAGTTTCGGGAACAAGAAAAAATCACAGGGGGCCAGATCTGGGGAATACGGTGGCTGCGGCATTATTAGTGTGTTGTTTTTGGCCAAAAATTCGCGCACAAGCAACGATGTGTGAGCAGGGGCGTTATCATGGTGCAAAAGCCAATTTTTGTTCTTCCACAAATCCGGGCGTTTCTGGCGGATTGCTTCGCGCAATTTGCGCATAACTTGCAGGTAATATTCCTTATTGACCGTTCTACCCTGTGGCAAGAACTCATGATGCACCACGCCCCTGCAATCGAAAAATCGTCTGTTGTTGACGTGCTCGGGCGTCCGGCACGCTCTTCGTCGTTCACATCTTCTCGGCCCTCGGAAAACATTTTGTACCACCGATAAACGTTGCTTCGGTCCAAGGTAGCTTCACCATATGCCACAGTCAACATTCGGAATGCGTCCGCGCACTTAATTTTGTTTTTCACACAAAATTTGATACAGATTCTTTGATCCATTTTTTGGAATAGGCAAAAATCGAAGACGAGCCAAAACACGTGCAAGCAAAGCAGCTGTCAAAAATTAACTGAACATTCAAAATGGCCGTACTTGTCGGCATAAATGAGAAACATGAGTACCAACATAACGCCACAAAAAAATCGAAAATCGAATATACGTAACCCGCGGAAATTCAAAATTCGCGATACTTTTTGAACACACCTAATATATATATATATATGTTTTTTATTAAAAAAGTACTCGATATGACACTGAGTGTGGTTACTTTTCAGACTTTATAAGACTTTAAAATTTAATTTTGTTCGCCAGGAATGAAAAATCAAGGTTATAGATATTGAACTGACGTAATTTTTACAATCCCCAAAAAACTAAATTGTTTAAAAAAAACCGGGAAAGATAATTTAAATACTAATAAACAAACCGGCGTAGTTTATCGTATCACGTGTAAAGATTGTGACTCTAATTATGTAGGGCAGACAAAAAGACATCTTGGTACAAGGATTAACGAATATCGACGCAATATTAAGAATTCAGCGAGTAATTTTTCTGTTGTTAGCGAGCACAGAATTAATATGGGCCATGAATTCGACTGGTCTAATCCTTCAATCATGCATAAAGAAAATAATAGAAGAAAAAGAGAAATTGACGAAATGTACTTTATTAAGAAATTAAATTCTACAATTAATTTACAAAAAGACACAGAAAGTTTTAGCACGATGTATGATTGTTTGTTTAGAAATTGATGTAACCTTGACATGTATTGGCGTGATTATTATTGTTAGTATTGTGTGTTCAAGACAAGATGACATAAGCAAAACGGATAAATTATTTTCTTGTCATAAGTTATATCTCTTCGAAGCATAAGTTTACTCTTACATCTTAAAGACGATATGCTGTAACTCATTGTAAGTCTCTAAATTGCTGTTTATGGTTCGTTTTAATTGGTGATTCTGATTGCATTTATATCAATTTTTTAGGATGTTTCCACTGTATTTTTGAAAAGGACCACAGCCCGTATGGTCGAAACGTTAAAATAAATATATATTAACAACTCTAATTGTAGCCAGTGTCGTCAGTTCAATATCTATAACTTTGATTTATAAGACTCCTTTCTTCCTTTTTTAGGACTTGCTTGACGCGACTCTGGATTTATTCTCATTCTTTGTTCACTCCCGAGTTTTTACGTATACTTGGTTTTTTGTTATTTTGTTCGGGAGGGGCGACAGACATCTGATTGGTGAATAACTTTTACATACGCGGCTAGATTTTGAGCGCGAAGTAGCTCAGAAGACGAAGCTCTTAGTTTGCGTCTCCGCGGTTTCCGGCCCGTTGCTGTATCAGCAATCTCAGCGCTAGGAACATAGTAATTCTATTTTATTGTATTGTATTATAGTGGATCTTCTTGACGGGTTTCATAAGACTCCCAGAGTTTTTAAAGTTGCGTTTTTGTCCAGTTTTAGTATTGCATTGCTAACCAATGATTCAAGGAGTCCTCTCAACAGATCTTTGCTATTTGAGGTCCATTTTCTAAGTGTGAAACCTCCACTTTCGAGTAATGCTGTTATTTGATCGCGAATTGTTAATGCTTCTTCCTTGGAATTTGCTCGCGTTATTAAATCGTCGACATAAAAGTCGCTATCTTAGATCCGACGGGATAATGATCTTCTAGATTTGCAAACTAATGTATGACCTTGGTAGCTAAAAATAAAGTCGGTGCTGTTCCATGGATAAAGGTTATTAGCTCGTAAGTCTTGATATCTTCTGTTGATCAATTTCTCCATAAAATGCACTGTAGCGAAATTTAAGTCTTATTTAAGGGGATGCCGGAGCGACGGCCGAACTCCGATAGATTAGCACCACACATATCTAAACACATGCACGTATACACATATACACATGATAGGTTAGCACTACACATATCTAAACATATGCACGTATACAACACATACGCGTAAAAATGTTTTTAATATATAACTTTTTTATTAGACTTGCAATCTCAGTTTTAATCGTTTACTAATAATTCTTTATATTATCCTTACCGCGTATACTATATTTTATGCACAGACAAACTGCAGAACTTTTTTATTAAATAAGTATTATTACGAACTGACACAAAGCAGCCGATAATAAAACTGTAATTTTTGATTTTTATATGATTTATATATGCAAACATAGCTAGCGCGGTCCGTTTTTATAAGTACTTTAAGCGTGGAAAAAGATTTATTGATCAGTATACTCAATAAAAAGTTATATAAAAAAAACTAAATATTCTCGCATTCGATCGGTAAAAACATCATCCGGCATCCCCTTAATAACACTTGCCTATACATTTTAGCAATGTCTGAGGTCAGGGCATATTTGAAACTTCTAAATCAAAGAAATATGCAGAATAATTATTGCTGCAAAACCGGACCAACCATTAGGGCATCGTTCAATGAAATTCCGCTTGTTGTTTGACTTGATGCGTCAAAAACAACTCTGAGTCTTGTAGTGGTATTTGTATCCTTTAGCACGCAGTGATGCGGTAAATAATAATGTAAGCTTGTATCCTTCATTAGTGATGTGTTCAATGGAAGCTTTTTCATGTACCTTAAATTCAGATATTCGTGTATAAAATTTGTATATCCTTTTTTCAACTTAGCATCTCGATTCAACTTGCGTTCTAGAATATGGAATCTGCTGAGTGCGATGTCCTTTGATTTGCTCACATTTCGTAGTATTTCTTCTTTTTTTGGCAGAGTCACTATAAATCGACCTTCAGTATTGCGCTTGTAGTTTTGCGCAGTGTCCCTTACATATGCGTTCTTCAGGTGTTCGTGTGCTTTGATGCTCTGCACGCTCAATTTGTCAGAAGCGGGCGAGGTTTGAGTTGAGTTGTTCATTGATTAATAAATTACATATTATAGCATTTCTTGGTATTTCTTGTATTATAAGATTACCAGAAACGATCCATCCAAGTAAGGTTTTCTGCCAGACTAGTTGATCGCTTGATAGTTTAATTTTTCCAATGCACAATAGATCCAGGAATATTTTTGCACCGAGTAATAAATCTATGTCGGATAGACGGTTAAATTCAGGGTCTGCTAAAGTAATGCCTTCTGGAATTTGTAAATTGTGCATATTAACATAATTGAAGATCTGGAAGAGCTTGAGTTATTTTTTCGATTATCAGACAATCAAGTTTAGCTTAAAATCCATTAATCTTCGAATGCATTGTCACTTTTGCAAGTCTACAGGTTTGTGTTGACAACTCACCCACGCCAAAGATGTTTGTAGCGTATTGTTTGATACCTAATTTCTTGACACACGTAGAAGTGATGAAACAGGATTGTGATTGTTATTTAACACAATTGTGATTCGTTATTTAACAATGCTCGACAGGACTTCAGAACGCCTTTTGTATTTAAAACATTAATTTATCTGTAGCTAAGATTACCTGTCTATTTTGATTGAACGTTGCATGATTTACACTTGTAGTTATTACGTGTTCCTTTTCCTGAGGAGCAAACGTCTTCGGTATGTCAGATTCAGGCTGCTTGGCCACTTGATCTAATAAATGAAGTAACGTGTTATAACGCTTATTACATTTTTGACAAGATCCTGATGCACACTGCTTTGCATGATAAGATGCAGCCTTCAGACAATTTAGACACAATTTACGCGACTTTGCTTCTTTTATACGCTGATCTACTTCTAGCTCTAAATAATTAGAGCATTTATACAATAGATAAGATGGTCAGCCTTTCCGCAATAAGAACACATGACATTTGTTGTAGACACGTGAGATGCTGTGCCCTTAATTTTTTCTGATTTGACCACCTTCTGCATATTGACAGTGCTCAGCTGAAGCTTCCAAAGCTCTGCATTGCTACGCTAGAAAATCTGTCAATTGAGTGAATGTAGGTATCTCACCTCTTTTTATGGTAGTCTCCCATTCCTTATTTGTGATGTGATCCAATCTACTCGTTACTAGATGGATTAAGAGATCATCCCACTGCTATGTAGGCCTTTCCAGAGTTTTGAGTGCTCGTATATGCTTTAATACATTGGCTAACAACTGCCGCAACTCAATATGATTTTCCTTGAGCTCAACAGGCTGCTCGAACAATGCCTTAACATGTTTCTGAATTATTAAGCTGTCATCGTCGTACCTTTCTTTAAGCATCTTCCATGCCTTAGGGTAATTCTAATCGAATGCTTTCAGAAAGCTGATAACATCTTTAGCTTCATTCACCAGGGCGGACATAAGATATTGCATTTTCTGTACGTTTGGAAACGTCGGATTTTCATAGATCATACTCAAGAACATATTTCTAAATGAAATCCATTGTTCATAACTTCCTGAAAAAGTAGGCAACGTAACACGTGGTAGTTTTAAATGTTCATTTGGAAAATTACTTCCCTGAGATGCAAGCATTCCCTTTTGGTAATTCGGCACGTTTGACGTACTATTACTGTGACGAGATGACTGAGGAGGTCGTGCTGCAGCGATCTTCCTGTCGATCAAGGTTTCCAGATGATTGCAAAATATCTTCTCTCAAACGTTTTTCTCTCCTCGAGGTGAATCGGCTCGTTTACTTCTTCAGGTTCAAGATCTTTGATTGCTGATTGTATCTCATTGAAAGTCTCGCACAGCTCACTCACCTTTTGTAAACATTGATGTAGTTCAATGATTGACACGTCTCGAACGCTTAGATCGATTAAGTATGTGTCGCATCGCGTAAGACTTCTCTTTATTTGCCTGCGTTTGCTTTTAAATATTTTAAGCCTCATTGTTACGTTGGTCATTGTGAATTAAACAGAAATTGTTACTTTCTTCATAATGTCTAGTACTTGAAAAATGTCTAATAATTGCCGAGGCTGTTGCACGTAAAATTGATCGTACTCGATATATAACCTCATTTGCGTACTTCGCAATGACGACGATAATGGCCGTTGCTTCTTGGCTTGTGTCGCCACGCATGCGCAAAGGACTCCTTGTACTTTCGATGCCGACTCGATGCTTCGAGGTTAAGCACGGACTTACGCTGTCCTTGTGGGCGGATCCGGCTCGAAGGACCAAATATGTTAGTGTCCTCAAGTGAAGACCGGTGCTCGGCACGTATTGATAGTATAATTAACACGTGTACCTTTGTTTAAATTCTTTATTCATGTAACGAACACCGTACAACATTGTCCGTGCACGTAATGACAAGAGAAACTAGAATCTGACTGAAGCGTTACCTTTTTGACGCTCAAAAAAGTAATTTGACATATAAATAAATGTTATACATATAGATATAAAAATAATTGATATAAACTGAGGACATAAAACAAAGTACATATATTATTAAATATATTGCACAAACAACAATATTAGAAATTTGATTTATTTTTTAACAAGAAAGATTAGGCAACCCAAAAATTTTGAAAATTCTGAAACATTGTGTATATTCTGTACATACAAATAGAATAGTTCATCCGGAATACAAAACGTTTTTGGTTCGTGCGAAATTACGATTTAAAAGAGTGAAATCATCACTTAAAGAAAATGTGGATCTTTTTCTCGAAATAACTACTGAACGATGAGAAATATAAGAAAAAAGTTTAAATAAACGTTTAAAAGTGCAATCTCTATTATTTTTTTTTATTTTTTAAAGTTGCGTATAGATAAGTATCGAAAAATTTAAATTAAAGTTTAAATAAATTCAACATAAATTTTTCGATACTTATTTATACGCAGTTTTGTGAAAATAAAAAGAAAAAAGACGTGCGACTTTTGTTTAAACTTTTTTCGGTATCTCTTACCGATTAGTAAGGTAAAGTGGGGTGTTGTGTGCCGGGTTTTGTTTTTGGACCATAACTTTCTCAACAATGCATATTGTTGTAATGTTAAACATTCTATTTTTAGCTTATCTTATTGCCGAAGAACCTGTAATAGCAGTTTTTTGAATTTCGCAAATTTTGAAATTGTTTTCGAATTCTGAAAAAAAGTGTAAATTTGGGATTTTGAAAATTTGTGGGGTGTTGTGTGCCACGACTGTAAATAGTAGAAAATAGCATTTTTGATAAATGTTCTTTATTAAACTTTGAAAAAATGAAAATATACGTTCATAATTATAATAGAAAAAAAGTTTAATCAGTTTCAGCCGCTTTGCATTGAGAACAAGTGAAATATCCTGTTGCAAAATGTTGAACAAACGAAGCGAAATAATACAATTTACCGTTTTGCCGCCAATTTTGCTACTTTGCTTTGTAAGAAAATCGACTAATTTATCATCTGACTCAGTTTCTATATCCAAATTTGCCACCGTCATTTTTTCTATACACCGAGACAATTTCATTCTACAGATATTATATGATTTGCTCACTGTCCGGATAGATTTATTTTCAATTGCAATTTCTTTTATCGCAGCAAGTAACTCAGAAATATTGGTCTCTGGCTTCGACATACTTTTGTAAGTATTGCGAGGCATAGTGACTATGAAAATCCTGTGAAAAAGAAACAAAAATTAAAAAAAAGTAATAAAATTCCACTTCAAAAATTACTGCAATTACTTTACATTTGCATGAAAAATGCAAAGAATGCGTTAAAAATGTCTAAAATGTATGACACATGTATGCTGCGTTGGTAAAATGTCGAAAATGGAGTGGCACACAACACCCCATATGCTACATTTCGAAATAGCCACCATAACCTCGTCACATGCTACATTAGCACAAAATCACTTTAACGATTTTGAAGGCAATAGTCCATAGATACTTTTAAATATCTGAAGATTTACCTGTCGCTTCACTTGCCTGCAAAATTGCGTGAAGAAGAATCGTCTAGAAAACTTTACGGAGCACAACGAAACGAGAACAATTCGTAAAACTTATGGGACGCGTGCACAAGCGTCGGATGCTCATGAAAAGTGAGAGTAGGTCTAGAAACTAAGCTGACATTACGTAGATGACGTCATACTAATCCGACATGGCGGTAAACTGAGTGGCACACGACACCCCATGGCACACAATACCCCACTTTACCCTATTTTGGCAGTTATTCCTAAAAAAAATCTATATTTCCTTTAAGATGTGACTGCACTCTTTGAAATTGTAAGTCCGCACGAACAAAAAAGTTTTGTGTTACGAATTAACTATTCTATTTTTACACAATGTTTCAGAATTTTTAAATTTTCAGGTTGCTATTCTATCTTTCTTTGTAAAAGAGTAATTCTATAGTCGCTAAATATTAATTTTGTACCGAGTTCATGTATAATTTTTAGTTTGTACTTTTGTACATTTATTACCACATAAGATCATAATTACCTATCCATTATTTTATTTTGCCATATTGGAGTGTTTCTGAAAATGTTTTTTTCAAGTCTCTTGGTATTTCATTGAATCCAAAATACGAGGTGTGGCAATAAAGAAACCGGATTCATGCTCTAATCCTTTATTAAAAAAAAATCAGACAATTGAAATGTTGTCCCCTTCAATGTAGTCCCCTTCCCGATCCCTACACCGCTCCATGCAAATTTTCCATTTTTGGAAGCAGTGCTGCAGGTCTTCTTGTGTTATGCTGTTCAAGAATTGCGTTGCTTTTTTTTTTCACTGCATCCACGGACTCGAATCTGGTTCATTTGAGTGCAGATTTGACTTTCGGGAAGAGAAAAAAGTTGCACGGTGCTAGATCCGGCGAGTACGGTGGATGTTCCATCACTGGAATGTTGTTTTTCGTCAACTGCGCTCAAATGAACCAGATTCGAGTGGCTCTATACATGTATCACTGAAATATAACTTTGATGTTTTTTCCAGAATTATTAGAATTTGTAAAAAATGGATAATAAACGATTCAATCCATATGTCAGCGTCGATGTTGAAGAAGAAATTGTTATCTCTGGTATTGCCGGGCGATTTCCTAACTGTAACAATATAAAAGAATTTCAGGAAAATATTTTTAATAAGATGGATCTTGGTTCAAACGATCATCAACGCTGGACTAATTGTAATAATATTTCTTTCTTAAAATTAAGAATATGCTGGTTTTTAATAGAAAGATACTTATTGTAAATAGAAGGTGTTTTAGAAATACTTAAACAAATTTTGGGGATGAGTTCTTCACATAAAAGCAAGAAAAAAATGTCATATAAATATATATCCGGGAATGCCTGGTTTATGAGTTATAATCGGAAGATTGTATTCAAACAAAAAACAAATTTCCACCGTCCGATTCAATGCACGCATAAACATGTTGAATCATGGTTTATCGCACTTTTTCAAAGATCCTATGACTGTTGCGTATAATTTCGCAGGCATACGATAGGGGGAGTTCCCTTAACGCCGGACAGCACCTAATACCGGACATATATCATGTCTATGTAAATAAAAACGCGATCAAACGGTTATATCAGTGATAGGGCAGTGGAGGAAATAGTGATCCCTATCACCGATATAACCATTTGATCGCGTTTTTACTTACATAGACATGATATACCTGTATGTCCGGTATTAGGTGCCGTCCGGCGTTAAGGAAACTCCTCCTACGTTGATAAAGCATCTCTTCATTTGCGATTTTAATTGCATAAACTAGAGTTTTTAAGTGTTTCCGATAACAGATAAAAATTTAATAAATTCAGGTCAGAATTAAAATCTTACTGATAATATGCATTGAATGAGATCAACAAGTTGTTGAATTGTACCTCAAAATCCAAGTATGATACGTAATCTTTCGATTCGCGCATAACTTATAAAAAATCAGGCATTTCCAAACATTATTATGGTATATGATTAACATTGTTATTTTCTTTCTGTTTTTATGTGGAAAACTCATTCCCGAAGTTGTTGAAGTATTTCTAAAATACCTTCTATATGTGTATACATATGCAATTATTATACATAGTTTAACAACATAATATTATTTTAAGTCCTGACAGATATTTATCAAATACCTCCTCGAATAGGAAAAATAAACAATATACACAAGTTTGATGCAGGATTCTTTGATTTACCAGCTTCAGAAGTTCATGTACTTGATCCTGGAATCAGAATATTACTCGAGCATACTTACGAAGCAATCATTGATGCGGGTGTAAATCCTGCAGAATTACGAGGAACAAACACAAGCGTTATCACAGCAATAAGTCTTTGTGATACATTTCAAGATTTAATATACGATAAGTCTCACGTATGTGATTCCTATCTTGATTATTCATTTATTTAAATAACAAAAATCGATAAAAGAACTTTTAAAATTATATAAACGTATTTATATGTATAAAAAGATAAAATAAAAAGGCTTTGCTATATAAATAAAAATTGAGATAGAGCTAAGAGACGAGCTAATTAAATCCAGGCGCAGAAATTAAGCGCAACTAATTTGATTTTTAAATTATTTTGTATTTAATTTGAATGTTTTAGTTCTTCTTGTCTTCAGCAGATTAATTAACAAAATGTTTCCGCATTCTGATTCATATTGCTGTTTTATATCCCTAGTAAATCCTCAAAGCGATTGAAAACGAGATAAACAACAAGGAATAAACGTCTTGACTTCAGCGATGTACTGTCAATATCGACTCGGAAACCTTTTTGTTAATTGATTTGCTAAAGATGTTCTAAAATAAAGATTGAAACGCTTAAATTAGAAAAAAATTTAAGAACAAGTTTGTTGCACCTACTTTTTGCGCCTTGCTCTTATTAACCCGTTTTCTAAAATATTTAGATAAAGATATTGTTAAATATATAGAAAATATATTTATATATTTTTCATATCAATTAGATGGATCAATTTGCTGGATTACCCATTCTTGGAAATAGTAAAGCCTTGGTAGCAAATCAAATTTCTTATTGGCTTGGCGTTACTGGACCCTCATATAACATCGATACTGCATGCAGCTCGAGTCATTTCGCTATGGTGGAGGCTTATAAGATGATTCGAGCTGGCGTTTGCGAAGCGGCGATTGTCGCTAGTGTTAATATGTGCCTCCATCCTTTTACAACTCTTCAGTTTTTTCGTCTGGGTATGTAAAACATAATTTTATGTTCAAAGCATTGTCAAATGGTATAAAAAACTAAAAGTGTGTATGTATGTGTGCGTGTGCGTGCGTGCGTGAGTGCGCGTGTGAGTGAGTGAGTGAGTGAGTGAGTGCGTGTGTGAGTGAGTGTGTGTGTGTGTGTGTGTGCGCGTGTGTGCGTGCGTGTGCATGTGCACACATACATACATACACACTTTTAGTTTTTTTAGGAAGCATTTAACGCGTATTGATTAATACTCATTACAAGTTCAGCGCCCTCTAGCGGCCAAGAAAGACAGTTTGGGCAAAAAAACGTCAAACTTAAGAGTTTAACAAGGCTCTGTCATATAAATATAAATTTAAAGTATAAAAAAAAAAAAAAAAAAATTTAGTTTTGTTGGGATAACGCACTGTCTTCCGCGATCGGCTCTTATTGCCTGTCTTATACTTTAAATTTATATTTATATGACAGAGCCTTGTTAAACTCTTAACTTATACACGCTGGCTTAAAGGCGTTTGTTTATCAACATTATTATATATATCAGAGAAAAGTATAGAATCGAAAGGATCTGAATAGCTCAGTTGGAAGAGCAGTCGCCCGGCAAGCGAAAGGTCTCGGGTTCGATTCCCGATTCAGCGACTTTCGGATCTATATTTTTCTCTTGCATTTATTTATTTCCGTAGGGGGGTTAAAGGATTATTGAAATTAAATCTCAAAGATATGAGATTATTTCATATTTTAAAATCTTGACAGTGACCAAGTAAAATTTGGTGCCTTGTGCACAGATATTTAATTCTAACGAAAAAATTTAGTTTTGTTGGGATAACGCACTGTCTTCCGCGATCGGCTCTTATTGTCTTACACTTTAAATTTACGTTAAACTTAGTTTTGACCCCTCCACATATCTGCCAAAATTTCATCAAGATCGATTATTTATACTTGAAAATGTTCCCTCGTCAGTATATCACGCGCCAATGTTCCTTATACCACGCGTCCGCGAAAAATAAAATATTATTTCATTATCGGGTCTAATAACCGGAGTAGAAACACAATCTAAGATTTTTACCCATCACATTATTACTATGTTGGAGGAATATCGCTTTTCTGCATTTTTACATCATGTTCTCTTTTTCTCTTACGATAATAATTGTTAATCATTATTGTATTTCAATGCGTTACATACTTTATGACGTTTTTTACTATACTTGATTTATATATTACCGTTATGACACCGTTTATTATTTGTTAAATTCAGAATTTAATCAGCGTTGATAATGGTCAAAATATTGACCGAAACGTTCGCTTTATATTTATATTTAAAGAGTACTTATGTTTTAATTCTTTTTTGTCACCTTTTATCGTAATTTATTAGTAAACATTATATTAGACAATATTTTTTTTTTTTATCAATATATATGACTTTCTGTCCAACATAATTTGAATTTTTATATTTACTGCTCTTAACAGCCTTTTATCAAATTTATTAAAATATTATTGTCTATTTATTTGAAAAAATTTTTTTAATATTACATTGTTTTATATGAAATGTCCAATTTTGCAATGTAAACATTTTAAGTGTTCTTGTCAATACAAATCTTTATAAAAATTCAAACATGTATAACCAGGCCAACTGACGAGTATTAAAATTATTGAAAATAATCTAATTTTTATTAATTTAAAAAATCACATAAAAAAAGAAATAATTAACCATATAGTCAAAATTATTTAATTAATCTTAAGAACAAATTTATAATTAAAATACAATATATTTGACATATTTATTATTAAAATTAACATATAAAATATAATAAAATTAGAGAAGAATCCCAAACGTTTTGGCTGTACACAGCCTTCTTCAGTGTAATAAAATAATTAAATTAAAATTAAAATTAATCCGTGAGTATCTAATACAATGCGAATAAAATCATTAAGAACCATAACAATGTGTAGTCGATTAACCATATAGATAAACTATGACAATCATTATTCTATTACATCTTTAATTCCCATCTCTAAATCCTTTCACCGCTTTCAAAGCTTAGGGAAAACAATATGTGTAGAAAAGAATTCTCTTCTGATTCCATCAGTGAAAAGCGTGGAATTATTAATAATCTAATTATCCGAGATCCCATTATAATAAATGAAATAATAATGTAATTTTTAACACCTCTCACTTAATTGTTCCATACCATCTTATCTCAAAGTACCTTATCCTAGGATAAAGTACTTTGAGATACCTTTTAATTATAAGTTTGTTCTTAAGATCAATTAAATAATTTTGACTATGTGGTTAATTATTTCTTTCTTTTTACGTGATCTTTTAAATTAATAAAAATTAGATTATTTTTAATAATTTTAATGCTCGTCAGTTGGCTTGATTATACATGTTTGAATTTTTATTTTGATATAAACGATTATAATTTTTAGAAATTTAGTTTGGTTAATGTTTACATTTTTAGTTAGTTCTTCAAATTTTTATATTTGTACATGTTTTGTATATCATGTTAAAGCTCGAAATTTGTCTTTTTATATCTGATTTTATTCTTCGATTTAATTGATTTTAAATGTATATTTTTCACCATCCTTTTCAGTATGAATAAACGTGATTTTCGCCTGCTTTTTTGTATGAATAAAAAGTGGCCATAATGTTGCAGTAGCACAGGCACACGCACACACACACACACACACACACACACGCGCGCGCGCGCGCGCCGGTCGAATCATTAATACTGCATTCGGTGTAAAAACTTTTAATAAACGCACCAGTATAAAATTTGGATCCACTTCAACTTTTAACCTTTATAGGACGGGAAGCCAATATTTTGGCTCTATAAGGGTCACTTATTTTTCATAATACAACATTATAATAAAGATATAAAAATTCTTACTTTAAATTACAAAAATTTACGAAAAAATACGCCCGTTCTCTAAAGATTAATGCTTCACCTTCAATCATGAACAATAGTCTCAGATCCACGATTATCATTTATAAGGCTTTTATTTCCAAATTTTAATTTTTTATACTATTGCGTTTGTCGACAGAGTTGCCGCCAAATTAATATTTCGAGCGGCTGCTAAACATTAGAGTCACTTTTCTACTCATACAAGAAAGTACACAAATCACATTTATTCATATTAAAAAGTATGATAAAAAAATACATTTGAAATAAATGTTTTAAGCGGCTGCTGCAACATTACGGCCACTTTTCTACTCATACAAAAGAAGAACACAAAAATTACGTTTATTCATATTGAAAAGAATGTTGAAGAAAATACATTCAAAATCAATTAAATAAAATAAAATCAGATATAAAAGGGAAGGAAGGCCAATAAGGCCGATGTTATATACAAAAAACAAAAAATTAAAAATTATTTTAAAAAACCAAAAAAAGTAATTCTGCCATTGACAGTTCCAAGCCCGTATTTAAAAGAGGAGGATAAAATAAAAAATACATGTATATATTTTCAATCTGTCACACACAGACACACACATACACATAAAATTAAGACATTCTACTTCATGCATATGTGTTTCTTTAACTTTGAGGACTTATAACTTTCACTTTCCCCAACGTAAAAAGCTTTTCATAGGGTGTTTTGGAAAGCTTTCGACCTCAACTATACAAATATGCGATCAAAAATGTGCGACGCTTTAGCCCAAAAATTGGGCTTATTGGCCCTCTTCCTTTTGAGTTTTAAAATAATATATAAAACATGTACAAGTATAAAAAGAGGAAGTATAACAAAGAAAGTTTTAAAAAGTTTACATTGCAAAACATTCATCGGACATCGGACATTCCATATGGAACAACCTATTTAATCAATGTTTATATATAATATTATATATAATCAATGTTTGTATAGCATTTAATCAATGTTTGTTTATTTACGTTTATATATTTTACGTTTCTCTAAATCCAATAGTTTTTGTTTTTGATTAATTCGTCTATTTATTTTTCAAAATTCTAATTATTTTGTTTATTTTATTGGTATATTAATCAAAACATTTTAAAAATAAGAAAGAAAATTATATCTTTTATATTGATTTCTTTTATATAGAATAAATGAACTACTGATATTATTTTAGGAGTTCTATCTGCTGATGGTTATTGTAAACCTTACGACGAGAAAGGAACTGGTTACATGCGTAGTGATGCAGCTGTAGTATTGTATCTACAAAAAGCAAGAGATGCAAGGAGAATCTATGCAACCTATATTTATGGTAAAACCAACTGTGATGGTTTTAAAAAAGAAGGTATTACTTTTCCATCATATGACAAACAAAAATGTTATTGAAAGAATTTTACGAAGAATGTGGTATCTCGCCTCTTAAGTTATCTTATATGGAGGCTCATGCAACTGGTACTTTAGCCGGCGATCCGATAGAACTTCAAGCTATTGATGAAACTTTATGCACCAAACGAAACTTTCCTCTGTTAATGGGTTCAGTGAAATCAAATATTGGACACCCCGAACCTGTTAGCGGTCACTGTCAAATTGCAAAAGTGAGTTCACAATAAATAAAGCTAATAAATAAAGCTACAAATATATAATGTAATACTACATATGTATAAATTTGTGCAGTATTTTTTATTTGTCAGTCGTTTTTAGTTACATATTATTATTATTATTAAAGATATTATTGCCATAAGAAATATATTTATCTCTTAAAGGTTTTAATAGCCATGGAAACTGGTATAATTGCCCCTAATATACATTTTAAATGTCCACGAAAAAATATGACTGCTATTATTGAAGGAAGAGTAAAAATAGTAACTGAACCGACAAAATGGGATGGTGGTTATGTCGGGGTTAATTCTTTCGGATTTGGTGGTGCTAATTGCCACATATTACTAAAATCAAATCCGAAAACTAAAATCAGTAGAACAGATAATAATTTACCTAGGCTTGTAGCTATATCTGGACGTACCGAAGAAGCAGTTAAAATTATATTAAATGATGTAAGTATTTACAATTAGTTTTACAGATAAATAATTTATAATAGTTTTATTTTTATTTCGTATATTATTATTATGTATGTATTGTCATTTTAATTTACTTACAAAATTAATCCTTTGTGAAAAAGGCAATATAACTGAAAGTGTATATGTATACATAATATGCAGAGTGTTCAATTTAATTTGTGCATGCCGATATTTCAAAAATTATCAAAATTAAACAAAAATTTCAAAAAGTCTCTTCAATGGTATTACTTTTAGTTTTATTGGAATTTATCTTTATCTTAATTTTCCAGTTTCTTTAAAAAAAATAATATAGAAAGTTAATTTCTACATTAATTTCTAGAATTAGAAGATTATTTCTAGTATGATGGAACCATATCCTTTTACTTTGGATTTTGCGGAGGAGGAGAGTAATTTTTAAATAGAAATCCCCTACAAGAATAACCTCAATCGATAAGTCTCAAAAAAATGAATCCAATGAACTATGATATTAAAAATTTATCTGCAATACTACGCCTGCAACGAATTTTGAAAAATCAAACAATTTGTTCCGGGTGAAGTACCTTGTACTTATATAGAATATTCTATTTTAACTTTTGATTTGAAAGAATCTCGCACAAAACATACAGATTTTAGCTTTCAGTAAAATTGGCTAAAACTGTAGTGTGTATAGTACTTACTTAAGTCACTGTTCAGAAGTTTCTTTAGACAAAAAGCTTGAAAATGGCTAGTTTTTTTTATATAGCCATTTTTATATGGCCATTTAGTAGAATTTTAGCATTATTTGATTAATTGTCTATATCCGTTTTTTTAAAGAAAACTGGACAATTGTGATTTTAATGAAACTTTACATTATTGGGGACCTATGTAAACTTAGCACTCGACTTTTTAATAATTAATTTTTTAATATAAAAATTGATAGCATTTTATTTATAATTATTTGTAGTAACAATAATTTTGATAAATAAAAGGCCAACTTATCGAGCAATTATTAGAGTTGTTCAGTCCAATAGCATTTATGTCATGTATAAGTTATTAAGCTACAATCATTCAATATGACAACTTACGCAAAATATACAGTCATTCTAAAATAATAAAATAAACGTTTCGACCGCACGCGGTCTTCTTCAGTATAATTACAAAATCATAAAAAAATTCACATAATATCGAATTTAATTTTAGTTATTCAGAGTCGAGAGTTTATGAGCAATTACGCGTGTTCTAATCCGTCATGTCCAACAATGTTTGCCTCGATATGATCTTTGATTTTACTCAGATTTCGAATAGTTTCATCGTTAATATGCGAGAAATTAAAACGTTTCGTAGGCGCTGCGATTAATAAAAAATTAACGATTAACGTATGTCGAAATTATAACATATATCCCCAACAATTAGTAATATGCTTACTTGACATCGTCCTTCTTGACAATTTCAACCACGTCTTTTTTTTAAAAAGTTATTGAAAATAACACAAGACAAACCAACAATATAAAAAGACACTTCATTTTAAACTCTACTTGATCGAAGAGTGTGCGTGTTTATATATGATCTAATACCTATGTTTAAACCGTTAATGTCCTATTTGTCTCATTATTATTTATTGTTCGCTAATTTATCCAAAATATCAAAATACGACTCGCTGAGTAACTCAGTATCTTTGTTTAAATTTAGCCCATTTTTTTGTTCTTTAATATGTAGCATCTCAGAAATGAGTCTTTTATAATAATTATTTTCGTTGTCCAAAATCTTTACGTTATCCCAATTAATTGTATGATGTTCATTTCTTACGTGTTCAGAAATTACCGAATATTTCGTTGAGTCCAACCTAATATTATTATTTTTATGTTCTTTTAGTCTTGTCTGTAATTGCCTCTTCGTTTGGCCTATATAATATGCATTACAATTATTGCAACTGATCTTATAAACCACATTCGAATTGCATGGATGTTTAGTTTTATCTTTCT